TGAACGTTATACCCAAGTACATCTATTTGCATTACAAGCAAACAGAGATAATAAAAGATGAACAAAATTAGTCCACAGGTCACTAATGGTGATGCTCTTGCTGTTGTACTACCACAATACAACCTACAAAGCACAATCAACTACACTTTTGTGCCACTGTCCTGGGTTACAAGGCAGGGACACAGAATAAAGAATTAAGTGTCAAAGTCTGTGGCAGTTCAGAGAGCAGGTACCAAGGAGGGGTAACACGCTGGAACGGGACAGTCCACACAAACCTGTCCAGGAACTGAAAACCTAGAGCTGAGCTGGCCTTGTTCTACCTCGGGAAGCAATGCAAACTATTCTATAAATATATGTTTGAGATGAAGCTGAACTTCCAACAACTCAACTGAGCAGACTGCCATGGTCTGAGGATGAGGTGCACACTTGGGACACCATTTTGCTGTAGTCTTTAATGTCTGACTCTCTTGAGCCAGAGATTTAGGAAAGAACAGTGGCAAAGTATCACAACTAAAAAGTTCCATTACCAACAATGGGAATCCTTATAACAAAGGCACGAGAGAACAGACTGGGTTGGTAGGTCTTAATCTTAAATTTCCCTGAGGGGTGAGCTGGTGCAGGTGTAGAAACTGAAGTTCTCAGCTATCCAGCATCACAACTGCCCAAAGAAACATGCCCTTTCTCTCCAAATGGTGATAATTCAGGGTCAGTGCATGGAACAGTTGTCACTTTGGGACTCAGCTCAGGGTCACTGTCCACACTATCGCTGGAAAGTTAAACCCAAGGAGCAGCTCTGAGTTTGAACAGCACCTGGTTGTTGTGGTGCAGGTGAGAGCAGCCCCTCAGGTCCCCATCTCTGCACTGACAGGTGGGTGTCACCAGGAACTGGGGCTCCCCAGTCTTTTCTGCTGTGGAACAACATTCCAAAGGATGGCAGCAGCTCCTTGGTGTGAATGGAAGGCTTGTAAAATCTGTGCATTTTGTCCTACCTTACAAATGCCAGGTAAGCAAAAGTTAATGTCCCTGGACCTCCATGCAGATATGAGCTCCAGCTATGCAATCAAACTCCTCTGAAGCTCCTAACTGTGCTCTTCACAATTCAAACAGAGAGAAAGGAGGTTCCATGACATCGTGGAGTCATTACAACATTCACCCTCTGGATACATCTGCAGGAAACCAGCCCTTACTTTGACAGGCAGCCAAGTCAAACTCAATTTAGAAAGTCAGTGCCCAGGATATAAAAATGATCTGAAGAAAAATAAGGTGAATGACTTGATAGTTGTGAGTCACAACGGTCTGGTGGAGGCCATGAAACTAATTGTATGAAGTATGGCAAGATTAAAGATGTCAGAAACTAAACACTACACATCTCAGGACTGAGCCTAACCCCAAGGCAGTAAATACTAAATGCAGGTCCTTTGCAGCCCTTTGTTTCACAGAATTTCAGATCCTTGTCATCACTGACACCAGGATGCCTCTCTGAACTTGCAAAAGGCTGAAGTTGTGCATCAAAGTCACCATTCACTTGGAGCACTTTTCTATTCAGGGCATGAAACATGGGAGGAAGAGGGTTCTATTACAAATATTAGTGTAAATTAAATGATCAGAGAAGAATCTAAAAGTCAGTCATATCTTTCTTGAGTCAAAAAAGAACTGAAAGACCAGAAGTCCCACTTTGAATGGAAGCTGAGACAGGACTTGTCCTCTACCATCTGACAGTTAAGAGCACATTTATCTGAAGTGAAGGTTACCCTAACAAATAGCCATGTGAGCCCAAGAGAATAGTGCTACAAACAGACAGAAGGCATGAATTTTAACTTCAGAAGCCTGTTTAATCCTAAACTTTAACTAAGAAAAGAACTGCATTTTGGGGTGGATAACATTTATCCCCTCAGAGCTGTTTGGCAGAGTATCAGGCTCCTTGTTTAAAAGTGGCAGGTTTTGTGATGTTTAGACTCTGACAAAGACAGAATGTGGAGAAGCAGCCAATGAAATAGAATTAGTTGTAGCAAGAAGGATGAAAACCTCTCAGATTTTATTGAGATAGCTGCATCATGGAAGAGCTGCATTTCTTCAGCACTGTATGTGTGCAGATACTGAACTGCTGTTGGATTCAGAAAGGGCCTGAGCACCTGTGAGCAGCACAGGAGTTCCATTTCAGGACACTTGTCACAGACTAATGCTGAGAAGGGGCTAAAACATATCCCAAAACTCAAACAATAAACCCAGGAACAACTAAGTTGTGGAGACAGGTCACCACCAATTTCAAAACCTGCAAAATTAAAACAGCTGTTAGTTGAAGTCTGAAAGGGATTAATGTTTGAAACTTATCATGTATCAAACTTTCTGGCATTTATATTAAAAAATATTTTTTCTCCACTGATTTTTTTTCACTTCTCCACTCATTTTCTCCACTCCATTTCTTCCTCCCTAATTAAATCAAAAGGTCATTAGAAATAAGTGGCAGTTTACAGTCAGTCAACACCCTCATATGCCACATATAAATTTGGAATAAGACAACTCTATCCATATTTCTAAACATCAGTGCAGGCAATGTACATACAATACACAAAGAGTTTGCAAGAATGCTTTTTGAAATTTTTTTGCACAAATCCTACTCTATGTAACAATTTGGCTAAGTTAAATACACAGGTACAAGGTGATAGGCAAACTCTAGATTGTCTTGATACACAGACTCTCTTTCCCAGTCATTTGTAGTTGTTAACAACTGAAATTTGAATTGTAATTTTTGCGTTTAGGTGCTTATATAATTTTGTTTTCCTGAATCATTCCAAAACTCTGAATTTTTTTTCCTACTTCTTCTATTCAATAATAATAAAAAAAAATCTATGCAACAATGGAAAAACATGTTTATTGTGCATGATGCTGAAGTGCCAAAGATGCACAATTTACATTAATTCCTGCTCTCTGAGAATTTGTCATAACAGGAATGAATTCTAAAAGAACCTCAACCAAAACTGAATGAAGCCTCATACATATTTGCCTGCAAACATAGCTTGCATTTTCATCAAGCCAATAACAGCATATTGCTCCTTCTATTTTAATCCCTTCTTAATGGGCAAGCTTATCTTCCCATTATTCAGGCAACTTTTCTGTTCATGCTTCAGCAATCGCATGACAACTGATTAACAAATCAGGGAATTACTCCTTGACAGTTCTCTTAGAAAAGCACAGAGTTCTCAACACCAAAGACACTGGTCCCTAATTTCTGCCTGCTCTGGAGGTGTGTGGTGAGGAGTCAATGAACACATCTTTTCTTCATCAGAGGCCTGAAACGACTTCAGCTGAGACACACAGCACCACCCCAGCCCATCAGCACCACCCCAGCCCATCAGCCTGGCCTGCCTTCAGATGCATTTCCTACGCTCTTCAGGGCTGTGCTTGCTATTTGACCTTCCCTAGGAAAGGATGAGTGCTGGAGCTGGAGCTGGGGCTCCTGCAGCAGGTCAGTCCTGGCACTGCTGTGCACAGCACAGGGTGGTTGCAGGTGATTTCCCGGGGGAATGGTACAAACCACCATGGACAGCATCAGCCTCCAACAGGAGAGGCCAGGACTGGGCTGGCACAATCCCCAAACTGCTCCCCAGTTCTAGAGAGGGTGCTCCAGGCCAGGGCTGAGCTCAAGGCAAGGCTGTGCAAGGGAGCTGTGTGTGCAGTGCCTGGCCTGTGGGTAACAGAGCACTTCAGTCCCCAGTCCCAGCAGCTCAAATATTCACCAAAAACACAAGGAAGGGTCAAACTCCACGCCCAGGCTCCTGCCTGTAGCTCCCACTAAGTGCAATGGAAACCTCATATGCCTTCAGCCAAAGAGGATCTGACCCTAAGAACACTTTAAGCAGCAAGCCCACCTAAGCAGAGCAGGACCATCATGATCTAAAAGTCTGAGGCATTTAGAGTTTGCTTCAATACTCGTACAAATCAAATTTCTCATTTGAAGTTCTTAAATCAATTTTGTAACTCTGTGCAGTGAGAATTCATAATCTCAAGTAAGATTTTTCATTACATGAATATTATAAAACCAGGAATGAAATAAGAATAAAAACCATGTAAGAATAAATGAAATAAGAATAAAAACCATACTTTGCACCACCCCTTTAACCCTGGAAGCTGCAATGAACATACTTCAAATGCATGATCCTGTTAAAATGCATATATATTTGTCAATTTTGTGCAGCCTACCACCTGTTTTGTTAGGGGGCTTCCATGAATTAATAGCCTCGGTTTTGCCTACTCCTGTTTCAGATCCTGGGCAAGTACAGTTCTTGCACTACCAGATTTCCAAACCTCCACAGCATCCAAAGCATCTCAACGCATGTCCGGCTACAAATCGTAACATTTTCTTGGAACTGTGCTTTTAACTCACTGCAGGGGAGATGAGAGTTGATCTCCAGTAATGATGTCTTTGAAGAAGATTTGGAATAAATGTGTATGTAAGTAAATGCCCACATCCACAGACATTTCCAAGGCTGCCACTTCTGAGGACTGTTTGTTTATAAGGTTGAGAGCAAAACAGTAACCTCCTGGTTTCCATCCAGCTCCTTCAGCACAAGCACTGAATGATTTATCTTACAGACTCATGCATAGGAAGGGACAGAAGGCTTTCAGTTCAATAATATATTTTAGCTTGAATCATACTGCATATATATCAGACATAAAAACATAACCATTCTTATCTGTATTTTCTGGATGTGTTAATTATCAGCTGTAAGGTATATAGACCAGAGCCAGGAATTCTGCCTTTCCTCACAACTTTCTTTTCCTGCCCTCTGACTTCACACATGTGCCAGTAACACACACACACATTGTATCTCCGACAACATTCTGGCTGAGGACTGAAACCACTCTAAAGCAGAAAACCCACCAGCATTTTTAAAATGGAGCCTTCTCAGACCAGCCCAACACCTACTAGTCTGAGCACCACAGCACAGCCTAACAAACTCCATTCCTAAGAGAAGGCCAAATCAAAAGATATTACTTACATGTATGAGTCTTCTTTGTTACAGAAATACCTGTAGGGAAGAAATAACACCAACGTTAGCAAAGCCACCACTGGATAAATTCTTTTGACATGTATTTCACCATTAATCTATTTTATCAGACACACAGCAGCCACTCTAAAAGAGGAATGAAAATTGCCATGATTTGTGCATTGAAGGTGGAAGGATCTCCCCTCTCTGAGTGCAGACTTTAATGGTATATTTTCTCCTCATACCTCACCTATAAAGGTTTCAACACGTATTGCTTCAGTAGATACCCATCTACCCTGTCTGTGCTGCTGCTTTACAACTGAGGCTGATGCACCAAGAAGATATCAGCAGCACTATATGGAAGCCCCCTTTTATTTTCCACGGTTAAGGATTTTCCCACACTCCTATTAGGTGGTGCACATTAAACCACCCAGACAGAACGGATTTGAGCGGCGCAACAATTCCTGTTATTAAGTTGGAGTAGTTCCTTGATGGCAAGCTGTAGCTTATGCTCATTAAAACCAAATGAACAGCTCTCTCAACGTGAGTATTACTGCCATAATTCCAAGCCAGATGCAAGTATCTCCGAGCTGTTAAATACATAATTTCTGCAGTAATAAAGATGTTTTTATGCTAGACAGGCATGTGGCGGCAACCACCAGCGATGGGCCAGTGCCAGTGAAACTGGAGAGGCATTTTAAAGAAAGCAACAGAGTGAACAGAATGAGGCAAAATTCATAATACCAAACAGAGATAAAATTAACTCTGTTAAATGTCATTGGAATTCATGCTTGAATACAAACAATATTGTCTCCACTTTAGCAGATAACTGGTGACGTACTCAGACCCCTCAGTATTTAAGCTTCACTCTCCTTGGGGGGAATTTTATGAGAAGAGAAAGAGGTTACTGGAAGCAGTACAAGTATTTGAAACATTTCATTTGTGATTAAGGCCTGTAATGAAATTTTAGAATTGGAATTGTTTGGCTTACTGCTCATGAAAGAGTGAGACCTGAATCTCCTCTGCTACCCTCCAATTCCTTCTACCACCTCTTCCAAAACAAATTACTATGGAAAAAAAAAAGGCTTTTATTTCAGGCTTCTTGGTTGTGGAACATCTCGGGGAGGCAGTGAGTTTTAACAATAAAAACATAGGTACCTTATTTGCAAATTTAGAGCCAACTTCCAAAGCCAACAGTTTTCAAACTATTAATGTTTTTGATAGATCCAGAAATCCCTAAAGCCAACCCCAAACAGGCAGCCATCAAGTTTGACATAATTGTCATGAGGGTTTTTTTTAAAATTGCATTTGTGTAGCTATTGCCCTTTTGGTTTGGAACTACCAGGCTCTACAAGTGTGAGCACTGGAAGCTTTCTTTTCCCTGAAAAGCTGAGAGGCTCCAGGCTTTGGGAAGAGAAGTTCTGATAGTTCCTCTGGGCAATTTTGTAAATGTGAGACACTGGTAAGCAATTTACAAAAATCAGCATACTAGAACTTGATTATGTATATGGATTAATTTAAATAGAAAGGTCCTGCCAAAACGTGCACATTCCTCATGCACAGAATTAAAATTATAGCCACAAAGTGCAGAGCCAAGGTAAGCACTGAGAACAAAAGAAAAATAAGCATAACAAAAATAAAACCTTTCAGTTAGATAAGTAGCTACTAAGGGGGGAAAGTTCATCCTTTAAACTGGTAATTTGTAAGAGCAAGGTTTCTTGGCTTTTCATTGCAGTGCAATCCTTACTCAGAGCAGGGGACAGGACAGGACAGGACAGGACAGGGGGTGTCACTCAGAGCTGACACTGTGACAGGAACAAAAGCCCAGGGCAAGGAGAGGGTCAGAGGGATCTGAAGCACCTCCATCAAAATGCACCAACAATACCTGTGCACCCTTTGATACCAGTGCAAAAACCTCTCTGTAGGGTTTTCCTGAATCTCTGCCTTACCCTTTGAATTTGAAATGAAAGCTGCTGCTGGAATATTGGCTCTTCCTCCAAGGAGGAGCATTTGTGCTGCTGTTTGACTGCTCAAGTCACCACTGAGCAGCACGTCCAGCTCCTGACAGCAGCTTCACCCTCACAAACTGCCCTGACATCCCCTGGGCAGACACACTCACCCCACCCTTGCCTATCTGGCCAATTCCTACGATTTTAAGGAGGTTTTAGGGAATGGAAACGCAGAGAAAAAGGTCTTAAATCCGAACACCATTTGCAAAACTTCCTCTCCCAACGCTCGTGCTAATAAATGGATACAGCAGTGCTCTTTCAGCATTATGGGAGCCATATGTGTGCTTTTCTCAGAAAATAATGCTCTCTGTAAAATCACTTTGAACAGAAAGTGCTTATGCTGTCACTTCTGATTACTCACAGCCTCTTCACAATGGGATGTGCCACAGCACAAAACAGACTTAGCTGTATTCGCTGACTGAGGGCCTCCTTCCCCTGCTACATGAAACACTCATGGAAATATCAGTGCTTATATTTTTCTACCTAATTTTTTTTTTTTGATGTGAGACGTGTCGTGGGTTTTTCCAATCAGATGTTTCCACAATAATTACCGATTACTATCTCGTCAGACCTTTTAGCTGTTTTATGCAGATATTTTTAGATAACCTTTTAAAACAGCAGCTTAGAGGTAGGTATTTTTGCATCTTCTTCATCATTCCACTGGTGGTTGCATCGAAAGCAAAGCATTTTGCTTTGAGCTGTGGTTTTAAAGTAACTAACTGCAATCTGGTGGAACAAGGATAAATGTTGCCAGTGAGTTCAACAGGATTAGGTTTAAATTAATCAGGAACCTCCACTGATGTTAAAGCGAGTTATGATTTTTTTAAGAAGCCTTCCCTTTCACACAGGTAACTTTTAGTGACTAGAAAAACTGAGCAAAAAATGTAACAGCATATCCAAACAGTTACCTAAATTAGATACATTATAACGAGTGCTTTAAATATAAATATTGAGTATGCAACACTGCCATCAGTTTTAGTTTTAATGCAGGAAGCCAATGACTCTGCTATTCAGAACATTCAAGGTAGATAATAATATCCTAGAAATGAGCGTATTGTGGAAAAAAAAATCAGTCTGAAAACCACTTAATGTAAAAAAAGGGGAGTTACAAGATCTCTGGCTCTCTCTGTGCCAGGGCTGCATCCCACTCGTGTATATGTTCGAATGCCTTTCCTATGAGCTGCATGCAAAAAGTTTTATGCAGACAACTCATCAGTTCTTTTGAAACCACCAGGATCTCCTATGAAACTAATTCTGCAAGTTCAACATACATCAAGTAATTTTCTTCCCAACTGGGATTGCTGTCATTTGTAAATGTTTCTGGGACTGGACCACCAGTTTAAGTAGATTTGAGTAGACACTATTTAATGAAATCTAAACCCAATACACCACTGAAAGACAAAGATTTATTTTTAATGAGTAGAGCATAAAGAACCTACTGATTCCTTTCAAAATGTTACTTCATATAAAATCCCATTTTTTAATGGGCTTCATTCCCAAATGTGATGGACTGGAGAAATATGTGACCAGTCGCCACTATTAGCACTGTCCTACACAGCCAGCTTTCCATTCTCATTTAACAACAAATGCAAAAAAAGCAGAAAGAGAGGAAGAAACAACACTATAGCTTCAGTGTTGCTAATACAGAAAGACTTCCTGACTTAACCAGCCAGACTTCAAAGTAAAGCAAAGGAAATGTCATGAAAATACCACAATCTATCAGTGCCATGGTTATCAGTGAGTGAAAGTTTCAGTATTACAGTTATCACAGAATGTATCACTTCCGCAGTGCAATCTGACATTCCTGATCAACACCAAATCTCAAACAAATTAACAGCTCACACTTTTCATCCCTGCCATTGCCATGCAATGCTCTGGGCAACGACAATCGATTTCTGCACAATGAAAGGACTTCATCCACCACCCCCTCTCCCCCCCCACCACCGGCCCGTAATTTGCCATGATGGGTGGTATTTACAAAAATAGCCTGCTGGATGCAATGAACTTTGAAAAGAGTATCTGCCAACAGAGACAGGATATTCTTTTGCAAGCAGTTAGCCCGACTGACCTTCACTAGCCAACTTCAAATAGAGATAACAATGTCTTCAAGTACAAAAAGAGACTCAGATATTTTATACATCATAAGCTATTTCTCACAGTTGCCCATCCAAATAAAGCAGCATAATGAAACACTGCTTACTCTGTGAACCCAGATCCCTGCTGCTGTTGTACAGTTGTCAACTTCCCACATTTCAAGGGGAAAACACACTTTGATGTGCAGAAAGATAAGTAAAAAGTCCCCTGTCTGGCAGAATACATTACTCTGCAAAATATCAAAGGAGGATATTCTTGAGTGCAATTTTCTTAAACCTCCAAGAAAACTCTTCCTCAGAAGTTTGTGAGGATAAACACACGTATTACCGGCAGAGCTCAGCACTAATCTCTGGGACCTCTGTAAAGCACCAGTGCTTCCCTTTGCTGTGCCTTTTGTGCCCAAATCAGGTGATTAACACTGCCCTGACAGCTGTAAATCTCGGTAGATGCCCTGTGTATACGATGCTTTGCTCATGTGGGGGTGTGTATCAATACATGTATTTTTTCCCCACTTTTTTCTCCCCTCCCCTCAAGCCAGCATTAGGGCTCCAGCACGTTTTGCAACTTGGACATTTTAGGATGGATTGGAAATCTTGGGGGAGGAGGGGGGGGGGGAAAGAAGTTAAAATTTTAAACTAAGCCTCCTGCCTGACATATTGTGTAAAATCAGAAAGAAAATATATCACAACCTTAGATCCCACTGTGTTTCATCCTGTCACTCCACTTCTTTGTTACTGCCACCACACAAAGGTAGCAATTGTGGTGGAATATTATATGCAACACTCGGGCACTTGCAGAGAACCTACCAAGGCAGAATAATACATTTGAGTGTATTCAGAAAGGAGCTCATCCTTTCAGGAACTTTAATAATGGTTTCTGGTAAAGCCTGTGCAGATCTCTGGCTTGAAGGAGTTCTGTGATCTTTGGGGGCCATTGTTT